GAGAGAGAGAGAGAGAGAGAGAGAGAGAGAGAGAGAGAGAGAGAGAGAGAGAGAGAGAGAGAGAGAGAGAGAGAGATGCCCCCTCACGTTTCTTCCTTCTGCAAAGCGGGAATGAATCTTCCGAAAGCAGGAAGATACATTCCCATTCTGCTGATTTCTCTCTTCTTTCTCTCAGTCTCTCCCTATGGTACATGCTGTGCCTGCACACGGGCCCCGTTCGAGGGGCCCGACAGTTGCTAAGGGGTCCCCAGGCCCCGCGCCATCCAGCGCGCACCCTGGAGGCCCACGGTGGCCTTTGGCCGCAGATACCGGCAGTTGTCTGATCGGACGTCGTTTCAGACTGCAGGTCCAGACGTCATTTCGGACTGCAGGTCCCAAGGCGAGGCCTTGGGCAAGGTACACAGGGACGAGGCCTTTTTGAGGGAAGGCGCAGTTTGGCGCCTCGCTGCATCAGCAGCGCGGTCTGGAAACCCGGTAGGGGCCCAGACCAAGTAGGCCGTTTTGAGGCCAGTGCCTGAGGACGCCCAGCAGGCCCAGCGCTACTTATAGCTGGGCTGAGGCTGGGCTGAGGACAGTTCGGTGAGCGACACGCTGCTGGTTGGAGGCTGCGCTATGTTGGCGCTGCACTGCAAGGCTGGGAGGGAGAGGCATAGGGAGTAGAGAGAGGCGGAGGCCATACCTGTAGTGGCGAACTTACCTGACGCCATACCTGGGGGCTCCACGCGGTACCTGCACAGGACGACCACGGCATTCAGTACGGCGGCCGTTACCTGCAGGTGAGGCAGCGAGGAGGGCGACATCTTCTTCTTCCTTCTCGCCCTCCATCTCGTCTCCCTCTCTCCTCCTTCTTCCTCCTTCCTCCTTCTTCATCTTCTTCTTCACATACGAGAGTGAGAGAGGTCACAAGCAAAGGATACAGGCAGAGGTTACTGTGGGCAGAGCGCCCAGGATCTGGTCCGACATTTCTGAGGCAGACATTGATTGGACATAGGCAAGGGACTATTTTTGGACTTCGCTATTGCGACCTTGGTCTTCTCCCTCGCCTCCATCTTCGTCTCTCCTCTCCCACCTCTCATCTGTGATATCTCCCCATGTACGTGTACAAAGGAGGGACCTTTCTTCTATGTGTGTGGTCCCTCCTCCTCTCTCACATGTGTGACAAGTGATGGGATGTCGCGTCAGTCCCGGTCAGGTCAGGACTTATCTTGAAGTCTTCCACTGCACTACTATGTGCCAATTTGTATGTATCAGGATGTACATTGCCTGTTGATGTTCCACTGACATTGCATTGTCCAGTTAGTCCTTTTCATCACATTGCGGATCCTTGGCTGTACATACATTGCCCAACTGGGCATGTATCACCCTACCTCCCACACTCCTCTCTCTCTCAATCTCTCTCTTTCTCTCCTTCGCGCACTTTTCTTCATCTGCAAAATGAGAATGAATCTTCCAGCTTTCGTGGGAAATCCATTCCACATTTATAGGGGAAGAAATTTGCGGAGAGAGAGAGAGAGAGAGAGAGAGAGAGAGAGAGAGAGAGAGAGAGAGAGAGAGAGAGAG